TGGTTGGAGCATTGTCCCGTAACTGAAAGGTCACGGGTTCAATTCCAGGTTAGGCCACGTGACTACGTTGCAGGTTTGGTCCCTGGTCTGGGCACATAGGGGAGGCAACCAATCAATGTTTCTCTCTCACGTCAATGTTCGTCTCTCTCTAAAAGCAATGAGGGGAAAAAAGTCTTTAGGGCAAGGATTTAAAAGAAAATACTGCCCTGGCTGGTGTGGCTCAGTGGATTGAACACCAGCCTGTGAACCAAAGGGTCATCAGTTCGATTCCCAGTCAGGGCACATGCCTGGGTTGCAGGCCAGGTTCCCAGTGGGGGGTGTATGAGAAGCAACCACATACTGATGTTTCTTTCCTTCTCTTTCTCTCTCCCTTCCCCTCTCTAAAAAAAAAATTAAAAATCTTTAAAATAATACTGAAGATTGTAATAATGAATACCACACCACTTTAAAAACACCTTAAAAAGAGCTCTCTCAGAGCCCTGTTCCTTACCCTGACCGTCCTCTCTCTGGGAATAGCCCTAGCATTGACCTCCATTGAATAGGTCTGTGCCGATTCTTGGGCAGGGAGAAGGGTTGCGATGCTCTGGGGCACCCTCATAGCTAGCTCGGGCTGCGGTCCCAGTCCCTGGTCTCTCTCTGGGAGCGCACAGCCCGGACGGTGCACGTGAGGAAGGGCTGCCCCCAGCCCGGTCCCAGCACGAGGAAATGAGGGTCCATCTGGACTAACATCTGTGTTCACCATATGCTCAGTCCCTGTCTCCTCTTGCATTGCTGACCTTGTTTCTGGGACTCTTTCCCAGGCTTTTGAAGTTTATTCTTTAGAAGTTCATCAAGTTCAGTTCTCTTGGTGCGGAACTCGCTGTGTTTGATCTGTGACTCTCTTTCTTTGACTCCCATTCTTGCGCAGTGGTTTAACAGTTTCGAGGCTGGGAGAGACGTTCCACACTTAGTGGACGGCGCCCCGTAGCCTTGAGTCTCCCGTGGTGGCTGGCGAGCAGCATGAGCTCTCCCTGGGCAAGTGGCCTGGCCTCCTGCTCAGCCTGTGCCTTTGGCATTCTGCCCAAGCACGTGGCCAGCTGTGGACGTCTTCAGGATTCATGGAGTCTTTGTGGATTCAAAGTTTTTCATCAGGCATTCTTTCTTTAAAAATGGCTTTTCCTCCATTCTCTCTATTCTTTCCTCTGGTACTGAAACTCGATACAGTTAGACCTTCTCATTATGTCTGTCTCTCTCTTCCCACCTCTTTCGTGCTCTCCTGGTAAGTATGCGTCTTACTGACGCAATTTAAACATCTCAAACACGTGTCTCCGGTGCGTTATCTCTTCAGTTGGGTGTAATCTGCAGTTTGAGTTCTAATCTGTCAATTGAGTTCTAGGTTTCAGTAATTACATTATTACTTTTTATAAGAATAAGTGAACTCTGTGGAAGAAGAACGGCACATTCCAGGGGGGTCAGCAAAGGTGAGCAGGAATGGGAGAGGAGGAGTCCTGGGGCAGAGGGAGGGGCTGCTGCCCAAGCCCCTCCCTTCTCAGCGAGACCTCTGGAGTCCGGAGAAGTGAGGGGTATTGCTCAGGGTCACACAGCCAGTTAGGGGCAACAGCAGGAAGGTAAGCCTTTTTATTTCTTGATTAGCAGTTGAAGCTGAGCCCAAGGAGGAACACACTAAGGCACATCATAATTACTTTACCCAAGACTAAAGATAAGGAGAGAATCTTAAGAGCATCAAAAGAAAAGGAGACAGTTATCTACAAAGGAGTGCCCATCAGACTGTCAGCTGATTTCTCAAAAGAGACCTCACAGGCAAGAAGGGGCTGGAAAGAAGTATTCCAAGTCATGAAAGTCAAGGACCTACATCCAAGATGACTCTATCCAGCACAGCTTTCAAGTAGAATGGAAGGGCAGATAAAGTGCTTCTCAGATAATGTCAAGTTAAAGGAGTTCATCATCATCCAGCCCTTATTTTATGAAATGTTAAAGGGACTTATCTAAGAAAAAGAAGATAAAAAATACAAACAGTAAAATAACAACAAACTCACATTTATTAATAACCTAACCTAAAACAAAAACAAAAAATAAAAAACCAAGCAAACAACTAGAAGAGGAACAGAATCACAGAAATGGAGATCACATGGAGGGTTATCAGCAGGGGAGGGGGAGAGAAGGGGAAAAGGTACAGGGAATAAGTAGCATAAATGGTAGGTAGAAAATAGACAGGGGGAGGGCAAAAATAGTATAGGAAATGTAGAAGCCAAAGAACCTATATGTACGACCCACGGACATGAACTAAAGGGGGGAATGCAGGTGGGACCGGGTGTGCAGGGCAGAGGGGAATAAAGGGGGGAAAATGGGACAACTGTAATAGCATAATCAATAAAATATATTAAAAAAACACAATAGGTCAGGGCCATTCTGGGGGAAGGAGTTAGGCATTGAAAAGGTTGAGATGGGTCCACAGTGTCATCCAAAATAAATCGTGAATGAAGTGTAGACAGCCAACAGAGATCTTGATGTTTTTCCATAGTGACTACATGTGTGTATCTAATTCAAAGTATACACTGAGCCCTGGCCAGTGTGGTTCAGTTGGTGGGAGCGTTGTTCTATAACCAAAGGTTGCGGGTTTGATTCCTGGTCGGGGCACATACCCAAGTTGTAGGTTCCATCCTACAATCCCCGGTCCTGGTGTGTGGGGGAGGCAACTGATTGAGGTTTATCTCTCTCCCTTTCTCTATCTCTAGAAGCGATGAAAAAATGTCTTCAGGTGAGGATTAAAAACAAACAAACAAGCATACAAACGTATACACTGATAGCCCACCTCTAGCCCCCTTTCTGTTTCCCTTTGCTTTGTGGTACACGAAGCACACGCTGGACCGGGCCTTGGAGAACTGCAGCCTGAGCAGGGAGCAGTCGCAGCTTCCCTGCACCCGGGGCAGGCAGGATGCGGGTCAGCGCAGCTGGAAGCTGCAGAGGCCCCAGGTCCTCTCAGTTCCCGGTTCTGGGCAAGAGAAGCTGCAAGGCAGATGCCTAGGGAGGCTAACCCGGGGCACTACCGCCACCTGGGGGCTACCCCGGCTATGACAGCAGTTGCGGCAGCAAGCCCAGCCCCGCAGAACGAGGGAACAAAGGAGGCCTGTGAGTGGAGGGGCCGGGCTGGGCGATTTGATTTGCCCGAAGAAGAGCTGACTCACTCTGTCCATCACTGGAAGCAGCTGCCTCCTGGAAGGAGGGGGCCCTTCTCCTGGGTGCGTGCAAGCAGGGAGCCCCAGACGGGGCTTTATGGGACTTCCAGGCAGCATCACTCATCAAGGCAGTCGCCACCCCCTACCCTGCGGCCAGGTCAGTCACACGGAGACCCACACACCGCGGTTTCCGCCTCCCTTCCAGTCCAGTGGCTCCTCCGCCTCCACCCCGCTGTGGGCAGCCTTTGTTCCCCAAGGTCGCTGGTGACATCCCAGCCACAGGCAGCAGAAAGTCACCTTATCTCTCTAACCCTCCCTGCGGCTCCACTCCCCCTCCCTGCCCCTGCCCTGCGAGCTGACACCCTGCCAGCTGACACCTTGTCTTCCGGCCCGCGGCTCTGCTTCCCTCGGGTCCCCGCCCCCACCGGGGACCTCTCTTCTTCGGCTGTCCCTTTAACTGCTGTTTGGATGCTTGGGACCAGCCTGCCCATTTCTCTGGAGCACCCCTCCTGTCCATCCCCGACCATCCAGGCTTCTGGACCGGACTGTCCACCCGTCCTGTCTACACAGGAGTTCAGCACTGCAGTGTCCACATCTTAAAATATTTCCTTTCGAAATAATGTCATACCTACTGAAAGATGCAAGAATGGTACCAAGAACTCCCTTGTAGCCTTTCCCAGCAGTCTTTAATTTTTTTAACATTTGCTCCATTCTTTCTCCTCTCTATTCTTCTCCTTCACACAGTTTTAAAAAACCACTTGGAAATGTTACATAATAGTCTTTAACCTTAACTTCAGTGCATTTCCTGAGAATAGGGATATTTTTATTCTCCTTATATAATTCTCAAATTCAGAAAATCTACCATTGAGACAAAATGTCCTTTGTAGCACTGTTGTTGGTCCAAGGTCCCACACTTCCTGTCGCTGTCATGTCCCTGGGTCCCCTCCAGCCTGGACCAGTTCCTTAGCCTCTCTTTGTTCAGTACGAGGCCAACATAAGAAACATCCAAACCTGTAGAGAATTTTTATGAGTATCTGAGCCTAACGGACGACACGCGGGAAGCAGGAACTCCAGTGCTGGGAGAAGGAGCCGCAGCTTCTTTTGCACTGGAGGTTAGGGAGGGAGGGAGAGCCCACAGGGAGGAGGGAAAAACCAGGCGGGGCTGGATCACAGCAGGATTTCTAACCAGTGCGCTGCAAGCGATGCTAAAACATGCAGTTTACCCCACTAGTTAGGGACACTGACCTCTGTTCCCGAAGACTGTCTAAAAGATATGTCTAGGACAACAGCCAACACAACCATAGCCAGCTGGCATGAATAAATGAAAATTATGTTTTTTTTCCCAGATTGAAAAGAAATATTTTTGGTGTGCTACAGAATTTTGGTCATTATTAATGCATGCCTTAAGGTAAAGGGGTTGAAAGCCGCTGGATTGCAGGGTAGTTAGATTCTGTGCGCCCTCGAGGGCGGTCCCACCTGCCAGGGGTATTACTGCTGGCACTGCCAGGTGCATCCGCTTAGGGCCGCCACCTAGAGCAATTACAGGCCTGGGGTGGCGCTGCCCTGGTGATCTGCCCACATAGGAATTTATGATCACGGCACTGCTTCTTCATCTACAAAGTTTGAAGTTCTCCAAGATTAAAAAAGAAAGCAGTGATCCTGTAGAAACCATACGTGCACTTATGCAACAAATTAAAACAACCCTAATTACAAGAATGAATACTTGGCCTTGGGCATAGCTTTTCACATGTGAACTGTGTCCTATTAAAGAATTTGAATAAAAGTTGAGTTCATGGAAACTAGTACATGGTGCAGAAATAGATGTTGAAGAATTTAAAATTTTATTTTGAAAGACTGAGAAAAAGCAGCATATCTAAATTAACATTTTAGATGTGCTTTTAAGTATGCACAGATATTAACTACAAGTAGATATTTATCTATTTCCACCATAAAACTGAGTTTATGTGGACAAACTAATCAAAACTCTTTAATCTGCCCTGGCTGGCGTGGCTCAGTGGATTGAGCGCGGGCTGCAAACCAAAGCATCGCAGGTTCGATTCCCAGTCAGGGCACATGCCTGGGTTGCAGGCCATGACCCCTAGCAACCGCACATTGATTCTCTCTTTCTCCCTCCCTTCCCTCTCTAAAATAAAATCTTTTAAAAGAAGCCATCACTATACAGTGCTTTCAAAAATAATGTGACAAGAGCTGGCTGGAGTAGGGCAGGGATGCTTAGCCATGCAGTCTCTTTGGAAGGCCTAACAAGCCTTGCGGGAGAGGAAGTGGGTGCCGGCTGAAGGGCAGCTAGCCCTTCTAGCATTCTGGGGACCCGTTCTCTCCTCCAAGCCTTCACCGCACAGAAACACACACACAGTAACACCGGGAATCGGTCGGTAATACAGGCAACTTCCTTTCCTTACACATTATGCATTTAAAAGGCTGGAATAATGCCTCTACCGTAGATGCTAATCAGAAGGGGACACCGTGTTTAAACGCAGTTTGACTTGAGGTGGGACCGTGGGTGAAATATTTTAGAGTTTAGCCTTTGCTCCATTTATGGAGCATTTGAAACACATTGGAAGGAACGCGAGTTCTTCCCTACCCCAGGCACCCCTTTCCGAAGACATGTGCACGCTCTGGCGTTTGTCCGCTCCGGCGGTCGCCCCCAGGGCCCCACGCCCGGGCTTCTGGCCCTGTGTCCTTCTGCGGTAGCCTCTCCGGCTCCCAGAACACAGCGGACACTCCTACACCCTTCAGGGTCCCCCTGGCCTGGTGCTTAATCCATAGGAACTGAGGTTTTGTAAGGAAATGTCAGTGGTTCAGGCGAGCTGCTGCTGTCGCTCTTTCATCATGCAAGTTGGTCTGAATCAGCTTAGACTGTTCCTGGACTGTCGCTGGAGGTCATTCCAGCCGTCCCGGGAGGCCACTGAGGAGACGTGGCTGCCCTGGCCACCAGCTTCAGTCGAGTGCAGTCCCGGAGCCGCAGAGGGAAATGATTCCCTTCGAATCACGAGTTAGGCAGAGAGCATGGGTTCAGGACTGGCGGTTTATTTTCAGAGCCTGCGACAGCCGGTTAGCAATGCTACTCAGGGCGGCACAATCTGAACGGCGTTCCACCTCCCCTTCCAGGCCTTCGACCAACAGAACCCCTGCAGACCAGATCACACAGACCAACTGCGACCTCTCAGTGTGTGGGGGGCATAGGTCTTCTCCCTCTCCCACCGTTCCCCATGTACTAACAAGATTGTTTTACGGCCAAATGCAACTCAAACCCATGAACACAGCAACCAGTCAGCTCCAGCGCCGCTGGTTCCCTCCCCAGCTCCACAGCAGGAAGCCAAGGCAGGAGGGGGACTCACTCCTGTGCACGGGGCGAACTTGGCTGCACCCAAGGGCGCAGAGATGGCGAGGGGGCTGGCGCCGGTCGGTGGGGATGAGCAGAACCAAACAGGCCTGTCCGGATCAGTGAAGGCGGCCCCCGCTCCGCGGATGGGAGGCGCTCCCTGGAGACCCCCTGCTTCCACGGGGTTGGAGGAGGAAGCCACTGGTGACGACCCACCACTCCCTGCCCCTCAAATTAAAACATGATACACTCAGGGAGTTCTACCTTCACAATCCACCACACTGCCTCCTGAGAAACACCCCAGTCATCGCTGTGCCCGCACCCGCGTCCTTCTCCTGAAGCCCAGGGCCTCCAGCCGCTCGCCTGGCCCTTGGGTGGGCCAGCCAACACGGATCTGATACTCCTTGACGGATAACGTCACTATTTTTAGAAAATCAAAAGCTACCAGGAGTACCAGAGTAATAGAACACTCAGTGCATATTTCCCGCCCCCAGCCCAGTCTCCCTAGTTGGGGACACCTACGCTACCACGTTCCAACACTGACCACCGGGGTGGGGGTGGGGAGAGCCCCACGGAAGCTGCCTGAAGTGCTGTCCGCAGCCACTCCTACGCCGGCCGCCCTCACAGGGAACTGCGGCAGGAGCGGGCTCTCACCCGGCCCCCGACAGACCTGAGGGGGGGGTCTTCGAGGGAGGTCCTGGAGCCCTAGCTCCCGCCCGGCAGGAAGGCCGAGTCCAGGGCCCGCTCCCACCGCGGTCTCAGTCTTTGGCTTTAAATAGCGGCAGCCCCCGCACCGCAGTGCCTCCCGGGGGTGGGGGTGACAGCGCTACTCCTGCCCCACACTCCCGTTCGGCCTCTTCTCCCCCCTTTTTAATTAAAAGCAGAGGTAGTCCTTGGGATGATAAAATGGCAGTATTTTGACTTAAAGAGCAGTTAAATAAAAGTTTCCAGGAGTTAAAAAAAAAAATAAAGTGATTGATGAGGTTGAATAAATTAAAGGCACGGGTTCCCCCACACGGGCTGCGTCCTTCCCAGGCCGTCTTTGGTGTCTGACCGGCAGCGCTTCCGCTGTTGCGCGGCACCCCCTCGCCTCGCCCCCCCCTCACGGAGGGGCGGGACCCAGTGATGCCCCAGGAGGTTCTCCAGCCGTGGGGACGAAGGGGCAGATGGTGAGTCCTCTCGGCGCTCAAAACTGGGCACGTGACAGCCTGGGGAGGCAGCCCCGACGCAGGGACGAAAGGGCGCAGCCCGCAGGGTGCGCTGGGCTCTGACCCTGGGAGTGTGGAAAGTGAGGGTGGAGGCGGGAAGCCCAGGCTCTCTCTCCGACGTCACCGAGCCGGCCCCTTCGCTCAGGTTTCTCTGCAGCAAAAAGGGGTGGAGGACGGAGGAGGCTCAGGCCGCCGCCGCCTGCCCCGCCGGCCTCAGAGCTTCTTCAGGCGGCTGTACATCTCCCTCTTGCTCTTCTCCCCGGCCCAGGTCCGGCTCTTGGTGCGGAACTTCTTCAGGTCTTCTTTAAAGTCCTCGTGGTGCATGGGCCGATAGCTGGGGGGCTCGCAGTGAGACTGGGGGGGAGGGGCAAGATCAGGAGAGGTCAGCCTGCATCTGTTCCACTCCTAACCCCGCCCCCTCCCTCACTGGGGCCGGGGCTGGGCAGTAATGCAGCCCTCACGATGGGTTCTAGCGCCCCTCTTGTGCAGGGAAAATCCCCAGACCCCTGGCAACAAACAGCCATGACTGTCAGTCAGACAGACCCAACCGTCCACCCCGGGCAAGGGCAAACCGTGCCCCCCAGAGAGCCCGCCTCACCTGGCACTTCAGGAAAAACTCCTTGTACCCGCCCTTCAGGACGTACAGCTCAGGGTAGTGGAGTTTGGGGTACTCGTTGCCCAGCCGATCGCGCTCTCGCACGTAGCGGCACCTGTGGAGGGCAAGGACGGGGAAGCACGGTTAGCTCCTCCGACGCAGAGGGACGGAGGCGCACCGCCACTGGCGGTGCCTGGAGGCGAAGTGCTCCCCGCGCACACCTGGCTGCCTTCCCACTCGTTCCTGGGGAACAGCGGCGCTGAGCTGTGAGCCCCTGGCCACGTGTGGTCTTCAGGAACACGGTCACAGCCAGTGCCACCGCCCTGCGTGGGAAGGGAGACGGTCTGTTCCCCCAGTTTCCTCTCTCCAGGGTAAACAGCCCCGGCCCTGGACACGCTCCCTGCCAACACCCGCCCCGCAGCTGCGACGACAGCCTCCAGCCAGCGCCTCCCTCGCCCTCCACCCCGGCCTCCCCCTCTCCCTTGCCCACAGGCTGAGCTGGCTCCCGCTGCAGGGCACCTGTGTGCCCCCTCTGCCTGGACCGAATACCTTACTAAATGTGTCTTTGGGTAATTACAGGGCCTTCCCTATCAGAAGTTTGTGCTAATAAGGGGTACGTTTGGGGGGGCATTTCCTTTCACCCCTAATGTGGCAATAATGTGAGAGCATACAGCCACTCCTTTGCAAACACCGACTGGGTGAGAGTTTGACAGCATCACACCAAGTCTTGCAGTGAGGGTCTCACACTTTTCTGGCATTTGCATAAGCAGCCACTACACTGTACTTGAAGGACGTCCTGAGAACAGCAGCCCCACAGGGAGACCTGAGGACAGTGGTGGAAATGGGAAGGGCCAGAGTCCAACTCCACGTAAAGGAAGCCTAAGCCGCGAGCCACGCCCAGCAGGGGTGAGGACTGACTCAGGAGTGGGGGTGATGACTCAGAGGTCAGACCCCCCTGGGGACATTGCATGGGCAACCCTAGCATCATAGACGGGGTGGACTACGGAAGCCCACAAGCCCATAGCAACGGAACTGGTTAGGTCAAGCCTATTTTCAACTCCATTCAGGGGAGTTGTGTGTGCTATGTAGTGACCGCTAGGTAGAGAAGAATTTCAGATAACATCTGCTACACGTGAATTTATACTTTCTGGAAACCATGTATTCACAGGCTGTGGTGCAGGCTGCGGCATGGAAATGTCCTATTTCTGCAGCAGGACGCTCCAAAGGCAAGCCACACGCCACCACACCCCACGGAACCCCAGTCCCGTACAACACTCACATGCGAGGGCCTCGCTCGGAGGAAAATTCACAGTGGAACACCACGATGACACGCTTGCCGTCGGCAGGCACGATGGGCTTCTTGAGTAAGAAGTCTTCGACCTCCTCCTCCATGTGCAAGTTCACCGCGCCCTGTGAAGAGGCACCACCGACTCTTGGCAGCCACGTCTCACACTTGCAGTAACGGTTCCACGAGCAGGATCTTTAAATGGGCACCTCGAATTCTGTTATGCCTATGCGTACTTTATGCATGCTGTTTATGAATTCGGGGCTTTCAAAAGCCACAAGGCCGTGGAAACACTAATAGTGTATTTAAATGACCTCCGTACCATATTTTAACATTATTTTAATGGCTAAAAGATTAAAACGCACATGCAGTTACTTTCTTCCTGGGAAACTGTGTCCTCACTCCCCCTTCCACCCAGCAGCTGAACCGTGCTGCCAGGGGGGCCCTGGCTCGGGGAGCGGAGGGCACCACCTGGAAACGGCCGTGCTGGGGCGACGGCGTGAGGGCTGCAGCGAGGAGCATCTGCTGTACAACTCGGTGGAGAGCAGTGGAGACCAGGGGACGAACTTTCAGCACACCAGGAGTCGAATGCCTTCCCGCCGTGGTCTCTTCATTCTCACCACCAGCTTGCCAGCTCATAAACAGCCAGGTTCCCCCCAACCCTTTTAAAAAGTCACAGATGCTAGCCCTGACCATTGGTTAGAGCGTTGTCCCAATACGCCAAGGTTGTGGGTTTGATCCCCGGTCAGGGCACATACAAGAATCAACCAATGAGTGCATAAACGAGTGACCAACAAATCGATGTTTCTTTCTCTCTCCCCTCCCCCCTTCTAAAATGAAAAAGGAAAAAAAAAAAAGAAAAAAAAAGAAGGCGCAGATGCTGCCCAGGGTCCCTTCCATGCTCCCAGCGACAGCAGAGCTCACCGGTGAGCCCCTGGAGCCCATACCTTGATGTGGCCTCCCTCGTATTCATACGGGTACCGGCAGTCGATGATGACAAACTCTTTAATGAGGTTCGCAAACTTTCCATTCAAAACAGACGCCATCTGTGGAGAGAAAGCCCAGGGAACTCAGCTTCGGCTGCTAAAAACACCCAAATTCACATAACTACATGAGGCAGGCTCCAAAGCAATGACTTACAATTTCTGGAGAGATGTATTTTAAATCCTGATGCTTCCCAGCAACTGTATTAAAGAGATAACCCTTAAAAAGAGAGAAAGAGAGACTTAGCAAATGCGAAAGCCTACATATGCAACATATGCAACATAAGCTACATATGCAACATTTATACTGCTTACCTGCCTGAAGAGGCAGCTTTAAATAAAACAAAACCTAGTATTTCATGTTAGTTTCTCGTCTGGTCACTTCATTAATTTCTGAGCATTTAAAGTTTGTACAAACCCATAAGGCATATCACCCTCACTTTCAGATGTTAAACACACTTCACTCAGTTACTGAACACCTACTGTGCCCCGCATGAAAAAAAATGAGACCTGGCCTGGCGAGGGGCAGATGGGCGCATCAGCAATTCCTCACTAGGACGAGCGCTCAGCTGCCTCCCCGGGGAAGGGTCGTGACAAACACAACCAACAGCTTCAATTCGCGTGGGAGGGTGCACTAGCGAGTGCACACCCAGGTCTTTGCTTGCTCCTGCCTTTGGGATGGACATCAACCTGTCTCCTATTTTTAACACACTTATGCCCCCTGTTCCTTCAAACCCCCTGGCTGAAATATCATCAGCCCAGACCCGATCTGCTCGCTGAGACGATCCCTCTTAGCTTCTCCTAGCCTGCTTACATCGCACTGACGTGCATTTCAATTACCACGTGATGGTGCGTGGGGTTCATGGCCACAAGTCTTACTGATAACGTTAAGTTTTTTTGAGGGAAGGAACTGGGTCACATTTGGAAAGCTTTGCGTAATATAATAATACATGCTATAATAAACGTAGCTAAATTAACAAACGAAAGATTGATCTGGTGACCTTCAAGTCACAGGTGGCCACACAAGCCACTGCTGACACATTCCCTGCCCCGCCTCGTATCTCCCCACAGTTCGAAGGTGGCCATCTCTGGACTTCCCCGGGGGCCTTCTCCCTCAAAGGCCACGCTTCTTCTCTGGGCGATGGAGCAATTCCGTTTCAACCCTGGACCTTCCAAGATAACCTTCTGATAGGGACTTGTAGTGAGGCCACAGATTTCTGCTCACTTAAACTTTTATGTAATTCTATTTGTATACTAAACAGTTCCCAGAAAGCCTGGCCTTGGGGCCAGAGTCGAGGTGGCTGGCGAGCATCTTCTACTTAAAACCCCTGAATCAGGGGTTTTAGCACCAGTCAGGCCTACAGTCTCACAGAGACCAAGACACACCCGATCGTGAATCTGTTTCCTCTCCTCAAAAAATCTCAAACTGTTTCCTCCGCAGGAATTGCCCGAGAGAAGGAGAAGGGCTGACTGAGAGGGGTTCTAGGTAAAACCCGCCAACCCTGCATCCCGTAGCTGGAGGTCTGCACCTGTTTACAGTTACCTTGGAGAAGTCTCCTATAAGGTCCCTCGGGTCATTATCCAAAATGTTCTCAATGGTCCCTTTTGAGGAAGACACAAGGGACACAGACTGATGCAGAATCTGCAACAAATCCAAAGTGGAAAATGAGGCCAGGGTGCTAAGCAGAACTTTTAAAAACATTCACCTAGAACGTTCACAAGGAGGAGACTGAATGTTAACATTTATATTTAACAAACAGAAGGTTTTACGTATTTAATTGAATCTAGAGTGGAAAAAAAGAGATTACTAAGTTTACTATTCTTTCAGCGTCTAACTGAACTGCTCTACAACTAAGCCCCCCCTCCCCCCGATTTAAAGCAGGACGGAAAGGAAGGCCATGTCTAAAAAAGCGTTACTTGGCCCCACCCACTGAGAAGTTCCAGGGGTGCCATGAGCACCCCTGGGACAGTGTGGTCTCTAAATGCCCTTTTCCACTAAAAGAACCAGGGTTCTCTGGAGATGTCACTGACTCCAGGTTGGGACAAGGAAGCCATCAGACTTGTATGGGCAGGTCAGAAGGGCTAACCACGGGCAGGTGGAATTTCTTAGGCACTAAATATAAATTTTAAAAATCGATGAACTGAAATACATTTAACAATCGAGATTCTGTTTGTCAAAAGAACATTAAGTAAGAGAAAAGGCAAAGCCAACTGGGAAGATACATATTGATAGAATAAAAGTTTCATTTTTGAATATAGATAGTATACTCCCGCAAACTAAACAACCCAATAGAAAAATGGACAAAAAAAAAAAAATCCTGGACAAGGAATATACAAAGAGGAAATCTAGGACCAAGAAAAATGTCTATCAGGGAAATGCAAATTAAAACCACAGATATTATACACTCACCACAATGGTTAAAATCGAAGGGATGGACAACACCAAGTCCTGGGAAGGATGGTGCAAGGGTGTCAAAGAAATGGAACTCTCGTACGTACTTGTGAGTACAACCACTTTGGAAAACTGTCTGGCAATGCATACTGCAGCTGAACACACGACTAGCCTGGGACAAGCATCTCCATGGGAAATAAAAGTGTATGCTTACCAAAAATGTGTGTGCATGTGTATATTTATAGCAGCTTTATTCACAGGAGCGAAACCTGTGAACCACCACCAAAACATCGGTCAATAGTAGAACAGATAACTGGTAGTTTGTTCATGCAGTGGAGTACTATGCTGCAATGAAAAAGACCCCCCCTCCCCCGCATGGACACACACAACAGGTGATTCTCATAAAAATATGCTGAGCAAGAGAACCCTCACATAAAGGGCAAAACGCAGTGCCCGCGTCAGGCCAGGCCAGGCCCACTGAGGGAAGACGCACTGGAGGCTTTGGGCTGCCGCTGATGCTCTTCCTTGGTCACAGCTGGTGTTTTAAGGGGATGTGCTCATGTCGTAAAAGCCCATTAAAATATACACTTAGTTCATGCTTTTCAGTATATATGGTAAAATAGCTTATCAAGTTCATTTTTAAAAATAAAACCTCAGAAGCCAATGTGAAGAGGTAGCCAAACAGCAAAAGGGATTAAATTGGGCACCAAAATGAATAAAAATAGTAATATATAGAACACCAAATATTTTAACCTATGAGTTCATAATTTTTGTTGAAAAAGAAACAACCAGACTTCGGGCCAAGATGGAGGCATAGGTAGTAGACACACTGTGCCTCCTCGCACAACGAAAATAAGGACAACAACAATTTAGAAACAGAATAACAACCAGAACCTACAGAAAATTGAACTGTATGGAAGTCCAACAACCAAGGAGTTAAAATAGACACATTCATCCAGACTGGTAGGAGGGGCGGGTCTGGCAGCCAGGCAGAGAGGGGTCGTGGCACAAAAAGCAGTGGCGCCGGGCGGGCAAGGCACCCCAGGCGTGCAAGACCACAGCGAGCAGACCCTGGGCACGCAGGTGGTGGCTGGCAGACCCTGGACTCGGGATGGCAATGGGCAGACCCAGTGAGGCAGAGACTGCGAAGTAAGGCATTGTGCACAAGGCAGCTGGCTGACCTGGCTGACACACATTCGTGCACAGATAAACCAGGCAACACTGGGGAGCGAGACAGACCATGCAATCCAGGGTCCCAGTGCCAGGAAATAAGGCCTCAAATCACCCATTGAAAACACCTGTGGGGGTTGAGGTGCCGAAGAGACTCCCAGACTCACAAGAGAGTTCACTGGAGAGACCCACGGGGTTCTAGAATGTGCACAAGCCCACCCACACAGGAATCAGCACCGGAAAGGCCCAGTTTGCTTGGGGGAAGCGGTGGAAGGGACTGAAATCCAACAGAGAGTGGAGCAAAAGCCCGTGTTCCCTCTTGGACCCTGCCCCCACATACAACGCCACAACCGAGCAACTGGGTTGCCGCATCCTGGCGAACACTTAAGGCCCCACCCCTCATATGCAACAGGCGTGACAAACAAACAAACAAAACACCCAAACGGAAGAACAGATTAAAGCTCCACAGCAAATACAACTAAGCGACCAAGAGATAGCCAACCTATCAAATGCACAGTTCAAAGCACTGGTGAACAGGATGCTCACAAAATTGGTTAAAATCGGTTGCAAATTAGATGAAAAAATGAAGGCTATGCTAAGTGAAATGAAGGAAAATGCACAGAGAACCAATAGTGATGGGAAGAAAACTGGGACTCATTCAGTGGAGTTAACCAGAAGGAAGAAAGAAACAACCAAACAGAAAAGAATGAAGAAACACGAATTCGAAAAAATGAGGAGAGGCTTAGGGATCTGCAGGACATCTTTAAACGTTCCAACATCTGAATAATAGGGGTACCAGAAGGGGAAGGGGAAGAGCAACAGATTGAAAACGTATTTGAACAAATAATAAAGGAGAACTTCCCCATTCTGGCAAAGGAAATAGACTTCCAGGAAGTCCAGGAAGCTCAGAGAGCCCCAAAGAAGTTGGACCCAAGAAGAAACACACCAAGGCACATCATAATTACATTAGCCGAGATAAAAATGAAGAAGAGAATCCTAGAAGCAGCAAGAGATAAGGAGACAGTAACCTACAAAGCAGGGCCCATCAGACTGTCAGCTGATTTCTCAAAAGAGACCTTACAGGCAAGAAGGGGCTGGAAAGAAGTATTCCAAGTCATGAAAGGCAAGGACCTACATCCCAGATTGCTCTATCCAACAAAGCTTTCATTTACAATGGAAGGGCAGATAAAGTACATCTCAGATAAGGTCAAGATAAAGGAGTTCATCATCACCAAGTCCTTATTTCATGTTAAAGGGACTTAACTAAGAAAAAGAAGATTAAAAACATGTATAGTAAAATGATAGCAAACTCACAATTATTAACAACCACACTTAAACCAAAAACAAACTAAGCAAACAACTAGAGCAGGAACAGAAACACAGGAATGGACATCACATGGAGGGTTAGCAACAGGGGAGTGGGAGGGGGAGAGAGGAGGAAAAGGTACAGAGAATAAGTAGCATAGATGGTAGGTAGAAAATAGACAGGGGAGGGCAAGAACAGTATGGGAAATGTAGACGCTGAAGAACTTATGACACATGGACATGAACTAAAGGGGGGGAATGTGGGTGGGAGAGGGTGTGCAGGGTGGAGGGGAATGAAGCGGGAGAAATGGGACAACTGTAATAGCATAATCAATAACATATATTAAAAAACAAAACAAAACAAGAAAAACCCAACCTACAGCTTCAGTGTCAAGAGGCTAGGTAGGGCACTATTTGGAAAACTGGCAATGAAAGAGATCCAGCCTCTCCAAAGGGTGATCCCCGAGTCTGATGTGGGTAAGTTTCTCTTCCTAAGAACATTCCACTAGTAAATGAAGAAAGGATGGCAGAACTGCAGGATTACCTGTAAGAAACCCCGGTTAAATGCAGTAATGAATCTGGGCGACACTCACCAGTGGCTGCCTAGCACGTCGTGCCCCTCGACCAAAGCAAACGCAGTCACCCATGAGATATTCTTGCCAACGAAATGGAACCCAAATATAAGTTAAGGTTAGAAGACCCCACAGGACTGTGGGAACCTGTTCAAGACAAATGACCTGAGTTCTGCAGCAAATAACCCACAAGAGAGAAACAAAAGATGGAGCCCAGGAACCCAAATAAGAGACCTATTGAGCAATTGCAATGTACTGACCTTATTTGGATGCAGATTTGAACAAACTGAAAAAGCGTTTAGGAGATAATCGAGGGGACGACATTGAGAAAATAAAAAGGTAAATCCCAAGCATGGCAAAAGGAAAAGAAGACTCTTAAATATTAACAGATATATAAACTAGAAGCTTCTGCCCTGGCTGGTGTGGCTCAGGGGACTGAGTGCCAACCTGAGAACCAAAGGGTCGCTGATTCGATTCCCAGTCAGGGCACACGCCTGGGTTGTGGGCCAGGTCCCCACCAGGGGAAGCGTGAGGGACAACCACACACTGATGTATCTCTCCCTCTCTTCCTCCCTCCCTTCCCCTCTCTCTAAAAGTTAAATAAAATCTTAAAAAAAAAAACTGTAAACAATCTAAAACAAACCATAAAACTATAAGCAATGCAATTCACTAACTTGGGTGACTAGACAGAATTAGATTCACTGAATGTGACACCAAAGAGGATACATATTTTTTTGAGTATGGATGAAACCGTTATAAGAATTAAACTTGAATGAGGCCACAAGAGGTCTGCACGGAGCAAAAGGCCACTGGGATGGTGTCAGCGGAGGCCTGGCAGGCAGCCCAATCCCCACCGCTGGCCGGCAGTAACGAGGCCTGCCTCCAGGGCACCGCGCCAAGGGAGGCTGTGGCCGGGAGCCGCAACCTCTACCCCCACCTTCCCCGCAGCGTCAGAGGGGGCCTGCTGAAACAAAAGATTCACCAGACCACAGCCTCACGATACCCAAAATACACAGATACGATAGAAAAATCACTTGTCAGACCACGATGCAGGAAAATCACAACTGGAATCGGGAAAGACCACCAGCAGGAGCCAACATCACGAAATGAATGTTGGCATCGTCTGACAGGGATTTCAAAGCAGCCGTCAAAACATGCTTCAAGAGGCGACTACAAACCGCGTGTGAAACAAACAAAAAACAGGAACCAAGTCTCAGCAGACAAGGAGAAGCCAGTGGAAGTCTCAGAACTGAAAAAACACAGTGTCACTCTCCTCCAGCACAAGGGAACCTGCAAAACGAACCTCCTGGGGCTTCCCTGGACTCGCCGCCTCTTCGGGACCGGCCCAAGCCGTGCTCTTCCTCCGCTTTGTGTTTCCAGGTGGGGACTCCTCTTGGGACCGGTCTGGCCTTTTCAACACCGACCGTGCGGCGAAGCTGCCCGGGGAGGTGGAGTCGAACAGCTGATATCGATTGCCCTTTGGGGGGAACAAAAAGAAGAGCCATCTTTCATTAAAGCCTGCTCATTTGAATGGTAAAGAGAACGGACCTAGGTCTCCCGTGATGGTTTAAGACCCGCCCTACACGAGCAGACACTGCCCATCCACCAGGTGCCACCAGCTCTCATGGGGCCCGGCACCTAGCGGACACTCAGTAGCTGCTGCTCAAGGAACACGGGCTAAGCTGCTCTTATATGGAGACGAGGAAGACAAACCACACCCTCACAAAACTTGCTGTCTGCACAGGGTCCTGAGAGTCAAGTAACTGCCACCTTCTGGGCAGGAACAGATTTTTGGCTTCCTCTGACCTCTCTACTGTATTACTTCCACCTTGCTTGAGCAGCCCAACAGACTTTAGTATCCCACCTAAGTCCAGAAATGACGTGAGGTAGTTGGACTAAGACAAAGCTAGGAAGGTGGTTAAAACAGTTAAAAGTGTAAGTTGGGAGCGGGGCAGCACGTGCCTCCCAAAACTATGCCCAGAAGTCCTCTCTGCCTGAGTCATTTCAAGGCCGACTTCCCAGAGACCCGAGGGCAGCCAATCAGCCTGCCCACGAGCCAGTGTGCCGCGGCCGGCCTTTCCCTCCACGCAGAAAGTCCTTTGCGGGGCCAATGTCAATGTTGCCTCTTCTTTGAAATGCTCCCGAGAGGCCCCCGAGGAGTGCGGCACTCCCACGCTGGATCTCCCAGGGACCAGGGATTTACTTCTTATTCCCTGAAGTTTATTTCAGTGGCGTGTTAAGGAAGGCTGGAGATTCTTCTTTCTACCTGGAAGATCTAGGAGCACTTTGGGGAAGAGGGCCCACGGGAATCTCGAGCTCTCCAAGGCGAGACCACAACTCCGACACAGCCTCGGCAGTTGTGAGTCTGCGACAACTGTCCATAGCGAAAAGGCCCACAGTTCTCTCCTGGTGACTTCAAAATCCAGCTCATAAAGCTGGCAGTCACTTCCCAAGCTTTCTCACACTGCATATAATGTTATGTCTTTCAAAAGGACCTGCAAATTTAGTCATAACATTTGTATTGGGGTAGCCATTAAAGCCGTGCACAATAATGGACGATAATTTAAGTGGCCTTAAGATTATAGTTCATTTGTCCTGTATCTAGTCAGGGACATTGATAGTTAAAAATGTTCTTATCAATAGGTAAAGCTAAGGCTGCATTAACTCTCAACTTGCACTGTGACAATACGGAATTTTCTCTAGGCACGTGCGCACTAACTAAGGGATGCCTGTGTGGGCACGGCCTTGCTTCAGATTTTCCATCTGAAAGTATCTCGAATGGAAACCTGAGTCTGCATGTTGATGGGGCAGGTATTTTCCACAAAAAATAGAAACATTCTGAGCCATTGTTGTTTGTCAAGTGCTGTGCTAGGTGCTATGGAATATAAATAAGTGAGGATGATTCAAAAAGTTTTCAGACTAAAGGTTTCAGATTAAAAAGGGTTTTCCAAACAATTCTGGTCTCTTCTAACGGATGCTCCTTATTTCACAGATTAGGGAACACTCGGATAGACTAAGTGCACGCCACAAGGTCACAGTTTACAGGCAGCGGAAGTGGGGTCTAAACCCCAGGTCCCCAAGCCCTACCATTCCATTTGACCTTTGGCTGGCTGGACCCAGCTAAGGTGGCAGGATGGAGGGCGCTCCTACACCATCCCAGAAGACGGGAGACGGCAGGCTCTCCACAGTGCAGGCGCACACGCACACACACACCCCACTACCACCCAGCAGTCAGGAAACTACCTTACAAGTGTCTCTCCGTCTCTCCAACGGAAAACCGTGGTGTCATTCTCATGGCTTCCTCCCCTTTGCCGCTCTCACACCCCAACACCAGTAATTCTGCTCTGTGAAGCTCCTCTGATCTGTCCCTCCTCCCCACATGATTCAGAGGAAGTCTTAGGCACTCTTCTGAATAGTCACAGCAGGCCCCCGAGTGGCATGTTTGTCACTGAGCCCAGCACCCTTCCTGCTAACACAAGAACACTGTGGGAATCCCTGAGTTCCCAGGGGAATCAGGTCTGAAGCACTCAGACCCACACACAAGCCCCGCCCACCACAGCTTGCCCCGCCCACCACACAGGCCCAGGCTCCAGCTTCCCCGGGGCTGCTATTACCTCAGATGGACTGTTCTTCTGTGAGAACGAACATCCTGATGCCCATCGGGTCCCCACGTACCCTGAGACCCAGCTCAGATGACTCCCCTGACCAGCTGGCCCACTGCGCTGAAGTGGATGCTCACAGCCTCTCCAGGGACAGACGGTCCTGTCTTTGCAGTGTCCACACCGCCCGCCCGTTCAACCGGGACACACACGGCTGTCTGCAGGAGTCTGACCAGGCCCCTCTCACAAGGTAAGCTGCTGTCCTTAACAGAACAAGAACCCACCTCCTGCTGCCTTACTGCTGTTTAGGTGCGAAGTTTTAATACTGGGACTGACCTAACACAGCTGTAACTGGTGATGACAGTGGAGACATCCTATTTAGGACAAGAGGACAACACAGAAGCTCTAACAGTGACCAGTGAGAGGACACTGGCTGGAAGCAAAGTGTCCGTGTGGAAGCGCAGGCCAAGGTGCTATCTAGCGAACCCACAAATTCCCCGTTGAAGCCGATGCTGGAGGCCAGAGCAGGGCCCTGCCCTGCAGAGGTGTGGGGCAGAGCTTCGGCGGCCACTGCAGGGCTGGAGCCACAAGGCTGTGCTCACGCCTTTAACAGTCACAACAGAACAGCCCAGTCGAGGGCAACTGTAATTTAAATTCAGCAAGAAAAAATTCAAGTGCCTGTCCTAGTTAAGGGGGACAACCAATGAACTGTGGGTAAGTCTATAGAAAAACATAAAAAATGTTTTTTATGTTTCAGAGGTGAAACCTCAATTATCTACATGCAATACTGTCAGTACGCTGGAGCTCCAAAAGAATCCTAACGAAACTCCATGTGGGGAAGGCCTAGCGTAAAGCAGAATCTTGGAGCAGAGAATAGAGGTAAAGCAGTGTTTCAAATGTTTGGCACATTGTGTGAGCAAATGCGGAAAAACTTGGACAGAAAGTCAAAACAAGACGAGGGAAGGTGAGAGCCAGAGACCCGGGGACGGAAGCCGGCCAGCTCCCCACCTTGCAAATGGCGGCCCCAAGCGCTGGGAGTGCCCACGTGGGCGTGGGCTCCTCGGCGGCTCCCGAGGGAGGGCCGTGTTGTGAGACTCACCAGGGCCACAGCCTGTGAACCCCGCCTCCTTCAGGGCCGCGCCCCCAGACCACCCGTACCCGCGCCCACCGCTTAGAATGCTCAGGTGCCGTCAGTTTCTGTGGCTTGTGAGGAACCTCAAGACGCTGCTCGGTGCCCCTTCTGCAGCACCCCCTCCCGGATGGCCACCCCCTTCCTCTACACGAGCTGCACTCTCGACTTCCCGAGCCACAACTCATCTTTCTGGCTCAAACACGAACAGCCCCCGGACCCTGTTAGCTCCTGCAGCGGCCCGCGCGCAGCTCTGCCCAAGTCCTGCGGTCCCAAACCTGTTGTTCTTTCTCTGCATTCAAGACTAGTTCTTCTTCCAATAAAGCCCTCTGTCCCAAGTTTTCAACCAGTCCACAATAGCTATCGTAGTTTTGAGTCTCCTCATTGTACTGGTTGTTGTTCTCTACCAATGGCAGCTGAGGTAGTCTAAGAATAATTTAACTTCTTAAATTCAATAGAGCAGCTATTTTCCAGATATTATCCAGTGATCTTCAACCAGAAGTTAGTAAGAGGTCCGAGTTGCTCAGAAAGGATGTTAGCTGGCCAAGAATGATTAGGTGAACTAGAAATCGGAGAAACAAGAACTGCACGCACACATACACTACCCGAACTTCCTCATACACCAGTGAGGACAAAAAAAACACCCTTGAAGAAACAGTGTGCATTAGCACCAGAAATTGCTAGTGACCAGTAAAAGCCCACAGATCCAAAGACAGAATCTCAAATGAAACAGTTCCTTCTTCCTGTGGTGACGTGTGAGCAGAAGGACTAGTTTTCCATTTAGTGCTCTCTGTCTCAGAGACCCAATTACTGAAGGTCCCCTCCGGACACCCCAGACAGAGTTCCTTACCACGTTTGTAGTCCTTCTCATGACGAGGGGAGCTGTCCACAGGCTTGCCATGCAGGACGGGGTCTCTTCGTCATTCTAAGGAGAGAGAAAGCTGTGTCACAGCGATCCAGTAGAGACTAGCATTCGTTTAAATGCTTTGGGTGTGACTCTGCCTGCAGAATACCAGCTAGGCCGGGAGAGAGTGCCTCCAATGCTCATCTCTGCCCGCCCGCCCCCGCCCCAGCATTTTAAGGCCAGGAGAGGACCATCCTTTACAGCTCAGGCCCCCGACCACAGCCGAAGGCACCCTCCCTCCACACGGGAGGGCGTCTCCTGTCTCTTCGGCTTCATGCCCTGTGGCTGCTAGCCCCCCACCCTCGCACCTCTTGCACACACACACAAAAATAGAGTGTGAGCTCCTTCAGGTTAAGAAGGATCATATCAGTGTCTTCTTTTGAAGCCCCCCAGGATTTAGTCTAGAAGGATAGCCTCAACGTCTCACCATCTGAACAAAAGTATTAGCCAACTCCAGCCCCAGGAATGGCTGCATTTTTCCACATGACTTCCCCGGGGGTAGTTAGTGGAACGGAGAAGGATAGGCGCACACACGCGCACACACACTACCTTCAGGTTCTCCCCATCGAGGAGGTCCATGAAGCCATCATCTTCATCAGACAACGTGGCAGTCACAGGCGACTGGGGCATAAACAGCGGGATGCAGGTCCCTGGCTCACTGCCATCTCTTTCACTTGAGGAAAGCTGCAAGACGGAATGCATGCTCGTGACTCAATGACCCACTTTGATTTCTCTGGATGGGTCATTCGTTTTTATGAGGACAACATAGTAAGTACATGGTTTATAAAAGCACAATCTTAGCAGCTACTAACCAAAGGACTAGGAACCCCAAGGTTATAGATGATGGGATGTCCACACACAGGATTAAGCAGAGTCAGGCCCAACAGCCTTCACAGAGAACCCTTCTCAGAAGCAATCCACCTCACAGAAGGGCCCAGGCACAGCTCTCTGTGAAAAACGAGGTTCGTTTTATCCGAGACTGGAGTCAGGGAACGCAGACCAACAGAGAGCTACGACACTGCGCTAATCTGCCAGAGTGAGGGAGGGCAAGACCACGAGATGGCCTGGAGCATGTGCATGCTACTCAGGTTCTGGCAGAGGGGAGTGAAAGGTGGCATGATTCTGGAAAAATTGATCCTAATTCTTTTTTTAATGTATTGATTTTAGAGAGAGAGGAGGGGGGAGAGAGAGACATCAATTTGTTGTTCCGCTTATTTATGCGTTCATTGGTTGATTTTCGTATGTGTCTGGGCCTGGAAATGAACCCACAAATGTGGCGATTCTGGACGATGCTCTAGCTGTGGATAGAAGTGGCGGGGGGGGGGGGAGGGCGCGGTGTGGAGGGCGCGAAACAACAGGAGGCAGAGCTCAGGCTCAAGGCCCGGTCCCCTAACAGGCCACAGACCAGTACTGGTCTGCGGGCAGGGGGAGGTTGGGGACCCCTTCTCTAACCTACTGAGTTACAGGGCCTTGATCCTAATTCTTTCTTTTCTTTCTTTCTTTCTTTTTTTTTTTTTTAACTTTTTAAGAAAGACTTATTGCCCTGGCTGGTGTGGCTCAGGGGTTGAGTTCTGGCCTGGGGAACAAATGGTCACCAATTCCATTCCCTGTCAGGGCACATGCCTGGGTTGCGGGCCAAGTCCCCAGTAGGGGGTGCACGAGAGGCAACCACACACTGATGTTCCTCTCCCTCTCTTCCTTCCCCTCTGGCTAAAAAATAAATAAAACCTTCAAAAAAATGAAAAAGACTTCATTTACTTATTTTAGAGAGAGGGAAGGGAGGGAGAAAGAGGAAGAGAAACATCGATGTGTGAGAGAAACACTCATCAGTTGGCTCCCCTTGCGTCTTGACCAGGGACCAAACCCACAACCCAAGCGTGCACGCCAACCCAGAATCCTTCACTTGGCCAGAGGATCCCCAACCAACTGAAGCACATCAGTCAGGGCTGTTAATTTACTTTTCAGTGAGTTTAAATCCCTGAGGGGTACAGCACTACACGGATTCTGGGAATCGAACCTGCGATGCTTTGGTTCACAGCCCATGCTCAATCCACTGAGCTACGCCAGCCAGGGCAACAAAATCTTTCTAAAAATAATTTAAAAATATGATTGAGTGCGGGCTGTGAACCAAAGTGTCGCAGGTTCGATTCCCAGTCAGGGCACATGCCTGGGTTGCAGGCCATGACCCCCAGCAACCACACATTGATGTCTCTCTCTCTCTCTCTCTCTCTCTCTCTCCCTCCCTCCCTTCCCTCTCTAAAATAAATAAATAAAATCTTTAAATGACAGCTTCTCAGTTTTTAACTGAGGAATTATTGTGTGGCCAGACGTTATAATGTAATCTTTACATGTATATTCCAATTTAAGTCTCCCAACACACTAAGGGTAATCCTTTTCTTTATATTTAACGAATCAGAAAACCAGCCCCGGCCGGGTAACTCAGTTGGTGAGAGCACTGTCCTGCTAGGCCACGGTTGTGGGTTCAATCTCTGGTCAGGGCACATGTAAGAAGCAACCGATGAATGCATAAATACGTGCAAAAAATCAACATTTCTCTCTTGCTCCCTGCCCCCTTCCTCTAAAAATCAATAGTTTAATAAAAAGCCAGAAAACCAATGTTTAAGCAAGGTTACCAAGATCACAGGGCTCACTTGTTTCAACTCTAGAGCCCAAGCGTTTCTCCCCATTACACTCTCCCTAGGAGAGGGACCATTCCTGGAGTGACACGGAGGCATCGCATCAGGCAACCCTGTCTGGATTTTGGGGAAGCCCAACTATTCAACCAGTGTATACTTGATCTAGAAAATTTAGCCCTAGCCCTGGCTGGCGTAGCTCAGTGGATTGAGCGCGGGCTGGGAACCAAAGTATCCCAGGTTCGATTCCCAGCCAGGGTACATTCCTGGGTTGCAGGCCATAACCCCCAGCAACCGCACATTGATGTCTCTCTCTCTCTCTCCCCCTCTCCCTCCTTCCCTTCCCTCTCTAAAAATAAATAAATAAAATCTTAAAAAAGAAAAGAAAAGAAAATTTAGCCCTGGCCAGTGTGGCTCAGTGGACTGAGCGCTGACCTGCGAACAGAAAGGTCGCCTGTTTGATTCCCAGTCAGGGCGCATGCCTGAGTTGCAGGCCAGGTCCTCAGTTGGGGGCGTGGGAGAGAAGCAACCTGTTGCTGTATCCCTCACACATCGGTGTTTCTCTCCTCTCCCCCGCCCCTCCCCGAAAAATAAATAAACACAATCTTTTTAAAAAGGGAGATAAATACTGCTAATGCAAGCATTGCTGACACTGTATCATTTCTTTCCCACATGCTTCCCAAAGCCAGGAAAACAGTTCAGAGGCCTATTTCCCCCACAGTAACAAGGTGGCTCCCACGTAAGTCCTACGAATATCCTTAACATCCCAGCCCCTCTGGGACTCGAGGGCACAGATCTTTAAGTGGCTCTGGGTGGACCACTCAGCTAGGAACCCTCGCTGCAGCTGGCCTGCTCTGACCTGGCACTAGCTTTGCTTCCCAACATAAAAAAAGTTCTGGGCTGCCCTGGCCGGTGTGGCTCAGTGGACTGAGCTCGGGCTGCGAACCCAAGGGTCGCCAGTTCGATTCCTAGTCAGGGCACATGCCTGGGTTGTAGGTCAGGTCTCCAGTGGGAGGCCATGTGAGAGGCAACCACACATGTTTCTTGCCTTCTCTTTTTCCCTCCTTTCCACTCTCTGTAAATACATACATACATACATACATAAAGTTCTGGGCTTTCTCCCATCCTGCACACGCGCACCTGAGCGCCCCCTGGGCACACTAGCAGTTTCCCACCCAGCAGAATGTGGGGGCAGGGAACTGGCCCGGGCAACACCCTCTGAATGCTCACTTAATGGTGTGACACCAGTTTTTGTGACCTAGGTCCTTGAATCCCTAGACACAGATGTGCTACAGAGAATGACAAACAAGTTGGAAGGAAGGGGAAGGGATTAGTTGCAGAACGTGTCGGAATGACTCACGGACATGGACAATGGAGAGGGGACTGACTATGGGGGATGGGGAGCCTGGGAGGAGGGGGGGAAAGTGGGGGGAGAAACCTGGGACAACTGTAAACAATAAAAAATAAAGTAGGAAAAACAAAAGGACAAACAGCCCAGGCCAGGTAGCTCAGTCAGTTAGTGTTGTCCCAATACACCGAGGTTGTGGGTCCAATCCCTGGTCAGGACACGTACAAGAATCAACCAGTGAATGCATGAGTAGTAAGTGGAACAACAAATCAATATCTCTCTCTCTCCCTCCTGCTCCCCCCACAAATCAATAAATCAAACTTAAAGAAAAGAAAAGAAAGTGACAAACAAATCTTTGGACAGATCATCTTTCTCCGTGATTCCCACACCAAGAAGCCACTATGAGAAAGACAGGCGGTGCTTGGAGACCAAAAGCAAGGACACAAAGGGAATGCCCTGTGACACGATCAAGCGCCAACCCCGTGTGATGAGCACTGGCTTCCTTTCGGTTTACACTTTCAGTCCACAATTAGGGCCGGCCAAGTGATCACAGCAGACGTTGGCTTCACGTACACACACACACACACACACACACACACACACACACACACGAAACACATTGAGTTTGGGTACCCAGCTCTCAAAGGGTTACTGTGTACTCAGGACTCAGGAGGTTTTGTTAAATCCCGGTCTTCTGCTTCTTGGCGAGTCACCCAACCTCCCCGAGCACTCTCCCAGTCTGCAAAATGGGCAAATCTGGCTATTTCACAGCCGAGGAAACATCCAAGTGCTCCGTACTGACGCTCAACACAGCAACACGGACAGCACCCACATCTCAGACCACAAGCCAGTCTGGAGAATTGTATTTTCAGATACAGGCTCCCAGGAAAACGTGGGAACCAAACGTGGTCATTTTGCTCAAGCTGGACCCCGCTAGTCTGTAGCCGTCAGATCCCCAGCAGAAAGTTGGGAAGTAATGACAGTCTCTGTCTAGCAAATCAATAACCATGGGGCGAGTGGCCCCAATTATTATCAAGCAGCCCAGAGGCTAAGTTTCCTGACACCCACAATAGTTCTTAATAAACCACCTCTGGAAGAAGCTAAGTGTTCTCTCCAAAAATCAGTCTGGGGAAGTACCTCTCAGCACTCAGGGCGCATCGAGAAAGAGCGAGTTTTAAGTACGACATACAATCCCCCTGCACATACAGCAGAACCACCCAGGATGCCTGCAGATTCTTTCCCCGGGACTGACCAGGTCAAATCTTTTTTGCTCAAGTACAGCATCTCAAACATACTATCTCCCACTCTGCTCCTGCCTGTCTGCTCTCCAGGCACAGCACGAACACCAAAACAATGGGGCCATCTAGTTTTGAAAGGCCAAGTCAAGGTGAAGACAGCAAGAGCAACTGCAGTGTCTTCAGTTCGCCGGGTTAAAAGGCGCGTTAACTTCCTTCCCAACAGAAACTTCCCTCTGAAAGCCAGAGCACGTACCATCCGAGCCGGGGCAGAGCTCTGCCTCTGTGTGAAGAGATCTTTACCCTCCTCAAGTCCGTGAGAGTGCAGGCAGCCTCGAGACGCAGGTCTTACGGGCTTCTTAAACTCAAAGGCTTCCTGCAAGACAGGACAGTCGAGACATCTTCCACGGTCTACGGACACCAGCGCTAGGGCCTCAGCTACAGCTCGGGTGGGGCAGGCAAGGGAGTGGGCACCGATAGATCATCTTCGTAACTGACCCCGAATTAAGGGTTTACATGTTTCTGATCTAACGCCAACAGCGGATCTGCGTAACTAAGACTTTCAAAGACTCTGTCAACAGCCAACTTCTTATACAGCATTTTTTCCTCACCACGCCGTTATTTCCTAACAAGCACGTATCTGCCAAGTACACAGAACACTGTGAGTTCTAAGCTAAACCAACAGCTCGGTAAAATCGACAGCAAAGTTATTTCAATACGCCTGGGAATGGGAGCCAAAGCTTTCCACTCTAGATATGCCCGAGGGCTTTACACTCTCCACCTTCTTCCTCCCACCAGGAGATCAGTTTTTCCGCTTAAAATTCTTGTATCCCATATGAAAAGTAATGGGGAAAAAACTGGTTTAGCCTGCAACATGGATGAATCTCACAAAATGCTGAGTGAAAAGTGCAAGTGACAGACGATACACTGTGTGATTCCATTTACATCAAGTTTAAAAAGCACTCACAATCCCCCTGCCCTAAAATGCCCACTTAAGTGTTTGGTATGTATTCAGAGCAGTAACAGCTAATATCAGCACCTACACGCTGACGCAGGACTAAGTACTTTCTGTGCGTCAGCTCATTAACTATCAACTATAACCCGATCGTCCCCATTTTACAGATGAGGAAACTAAGCCTTGTAGGCCCTAAAGATCTTGCAGGCCAGATGTGCCTAAGATCTGGCTCCATAGGCAGACAGGACAACTCCAGAGCAAGAGCTCTTTAACCCATGCCGTTTCCCTTCCAGAACAAAGCTCCAAGCAGGCGACCCTGGGAGAGGCCAAACTGGGGAGGGACAGGGGAACTCGGACGGACTAGGCAGGGCCACAGGTTTGGGCTGCTGGGTAGAAAGCCACTACACAGAGGCTGAGGCAAGTCTTCCAACCCCCCGAGGCAGTAACTCATTTCTGTAGCCTCCCGCAGGCCACCCTGCAAAGTGCCAAAGGAATCACTGGGAGAGTTCACGGGAGCGGCAGGTTTTATACCAAGTCTGGAAGAGTATGAGGATTATGCACTCTGGCTTGTTAGCAGGGAATGGAAAAGGGGTGGAAATAGAGCAAGAAGACTGGAGAAGTTGAGTGAATTCATTTAAACTATAATATTTCGGATGCCTGCCCCGTGCAAGGCACGTGCGCACCAGGTGTGAGAGAAAAGCCAGGCCAAGGCGTTCTCGGCCTTTTGAATGGGCAGTCACAAGCTCATCCTCTGAGCTACCATTCCAGTTTCTCTGAGACTCCCTGGGACTTGCTGGCTCCCTTCTTTCAAACCCTGTCAAGCAGCGTTCCCCTAAGCTCACAACCCCTCCCAGTGTCAGCGCACACGGGAGAAGGGAAGGCCCAGGCAGACACCTCCGGAAAAACTAGCCGGGAACCACCCGCAACGCTTTACCTACGTTGTCTCACTGCACTCCCGCAGCAGCCCTGCAAGGCGCTGCTACTCCTGCTTTACAGACAGAGAAATGAAGAAGCCTAAAAGAGGAAATAACTCGCCAAGGTCACAGAGCTGGTTAGCAGCAGGATTCAAATCGAGGTTTCTGTGACTCCAGAGACCATCATGACCCTGGTGAAAGCTTAGCCTCCCAGGAGGCAGCCCGGCCACTTCTCTGGACACCACTGGCACTAGCGGGCTGTGCTCCCCGCCCTAAGTGAGTACGTCGGTGCAACACTCACGTTTTCCTTGTTCTCATCCTGGTCCATCAGCTGAAAGACGTCATGGTCAAGGGAATCAGAATGGCTCCTCTTCAGAGCGGGACTACACCCCAAGAGCTTCTGCTATCAAAGCGAAAAAGGAATTAGGGTCCATAAATGAAAACTCAGTCCTCAAAAGGAAAAAAGATGGCTGGTGGGGTGGGCTGCGGCCTAGGCCCTCACACATGGCAGTGACCGTGGCCATGGCTCCGCCCTGCCAGAACACGGCATGGAAGTTCCCGCTACACGGCTTCACGCATAACCCCACAAGGCCCACTGCCCTCTCGGCGGGGACTCAGGGTCGCCAAACCACCTGCTCCCCCAACAACCTCGTTTGCATAAAAAGAACTCCTCCTATTTTGATTAAAACGGATAGTTAGAAATGGTAAAAAAAGAGGCAGTTATTGAAGTTGCTTTTAGGAATGTTTGTGTGCTTTTGAGACTAAGGAAAAGCAGTCTTCACTGTCTAAATTAATGTCCACCATCAAGATCGTGCTGGTAGCTAAGGGGCAGACAACAGGTATCAGTTCAAAATATACAAGGGAATTAACTTACAGGCAGGGAATGTATCCTCCTCATGGGATTTTCAAGGCTGCAATAGAATCAGTAGGTAAAGAATGAGAATAAAGCAAAGAGGTAGCAGAATGCACAGTGCTCGATCTATAGCTTGAGGGCGGTCAAAAACACCCCCACTTCGGGCAAGAGGGAAGAACGGGTTTCCCAAGCACCCCAACACAGGGCTGCAAGGTCAGAACAGCAAGCCCACTCTGACGGCCAGGCCGTCAGGGGGCGGGGCAAGGGCTTGAGCGAGACTCCAAACGGACACCAAATTACAGCTAAAATAAAGAAAGGGAAGTTCCAAAAACTGCTGACACAGACGACTCATTAAGGTACCAGACTGTTTACAGGGACAGCTACATCTAGAGTATGACAAAGGTCACTGAAAAAAAAAGATAATAATAAAGAAGAAAAGTTTTTTTCTAAGCACAAACACTTAAAAGCAATGAATACATACTTTTCTTTACTGTCCAAGGGCCCAGGAGAATCTAGACAGAAGCCTGTAGAAATTAAAAATACCTCTTAGGAGACAGTCCATAAAACACCATTTTGTCACGAAAGTAAGTAAAATTCTTAGCATTGTTTCTTTAAAAGCCAGTCAATGAGGACTCACAGCTTGGACTTTTTGCCAGAAATGGAGTCAAGTGTCTATATGATTGTCCAAAACATAACATTTGCACAAGTCTTAAGTATTTTCACAAACCCCCTTTCCTACTTGCAAATGCCATCAAGGGAAACAGGATGAGGACAGAGTGACCGAGCCAGATTCTCTGGAACCCTCTCCTGACTGCAGGTTGTTCGGATAAGAGATTATCCAGCTCCCTCCTGCGAGTTCCGACCATGGAGATAACATGTGGCACCAGTGTTCTGCAAGTTTTTATTTCAAATAGTTTATCTTGTCAGATCCTATGTATAACTGGGGGGTCTTGGAAATACGATTATGTCCTATGACAAGCAAAGCAAGTATTTACACGGAGGGAGGTGCCTGTCTCACCCAAGGCAGCAGGGTGGCACCCGGCCCACCTAGCAAAGGCCTTTCCTGCCTGATGTCTCCGAGACCCGATAGCAAGTTGGGTGTTAGCCCCTGATGGGTGTTCTCCCTCGCCACGCCGCCACAGAACGTTTCCAAGTGAAAGCACGTGTCCGGCAAATCCCGGCACTGTTCCCCACCCGGCAGACACATGGTACATGCCGAGGACCAAAAAAGTACCTGAATCGGTTGACTCGGAGGAGCCCATTCTCTGCAGACTGCTGTTCTTTACCTCCAGCGGCTGTTCGTACTCACTGAAACCAAGAGAAGTGATTCTGTGTATTTCTAGGCCACGACTAACGGGTTACATACAGGAGACAGGCCAAGTAGCCAGGATGCCAGCCACCAACCGCCATTCCCTCTAGACCACCCCACAGAACACCCTGTCACCCAAACACCCAGGCAGCTAGCACTCCACAGAAACCACGAGAAAGGAGTGGGTGTGGGAGGCATGGCCTGGGTCGAACTGCAGGAAAGGATGACTATGATGAAGGCTGGAGCACTTCCTGAACTGAGAGCATGTGTCCTGTGTGTAGGTACTGTGCTAGGAGCAAGAGATGAAAAACGAATAGGAAAAGTTCCTGCTTTTCAGAGGCTGGAAGCAGGACACGTGCTCACTTAGAAAATAGGATGTCCAAGACAGAAGGGAAAGCAGCTTCCCCGCAGGTACAGTGGGGCGCATTTGTTTATTTATTTTGCTATGAGGAGGAGCTCAGGGAAGTTCTGAGTATGGAAAGCTGAGTATAAAGGCCCGGCCTTAGCAATGCATCGCGGCGGCCATCAGGAATGTGCACGGGGCGAGGGGCCGCGATGGTTTTGCACAAATCTTAGGCGAGAAAATGCCATGTCCCTTTGTTGGGAAGGAACAAAGCTCACAGGAAACTATGATCCTGCAAGACGGCTCATCGAAGCGGGGAAGTGAGCGCCTAGGACGGCCTGCTTTTTCCCCCGTGGAGGCAGATTCCAAAGGGCTTCCTGGGACAGGGTCAGAGAGGACAGGGCAGGGCAACCCGAAAGGGGTGGCGAGGATGGGGACCCGGGGTCGCCCCCACCCCTACCGGGCCTGGCTCGGGGCTGACGGCGGCCCCGGACTGTCCGAACGGCCTCTCCCGCCCAACATTCCGCCTGAGGGGGAAGGTGCACATGGCTAGTCCCCGCCAGACTGACCCGACCCCAAACGGCGGACAGGTCTGGCCCTTCTCCCGGCCTGATCCCCCCCCCCGAGAGCCGTCTGGGAGGTCAGAGGCCCGTGAAACCGCTCGCCTGTCCCCCCCTCACCTGCCCAGGCCCTGCAGCTGATCCATGGTGACCGTCAGGTTGGTGACAGGCGACAGGCCCCCCGCGGCTGGCGTGCCGAACAGCGTCTTCTCGACCGGCGACGCAGGAGTGGGGCTGCAGGCGAAGAGCAGGCGGCGGCGATGCGGGGGCTCCGGGCCCAGTTCCATGGCGGCGCCCGGCCTCCCGGGGCTCCCGCTCCCTCTTCCTCCGCCGCGCCGCCCCGCCCTGCCGCCGCTGGCCTGGGCCGCGAGCCCCGCCGCCGGTGCCTGCGGGTCAAACACAAACACGACCCCGCGGTTCAGGGACGCGGCTGTCGCGGGAGAAGCGGCGCGGACGGGCGGGTGTCCGGACCCAGCAGGCGCCAGCCACACGCAAGGTTGCTTCCCCCTCACCCCGCGAGGCCAGCGGGCGGGCGGGCGCCGGCAACCTGAAGATTAAATCCAAACAAACGCGGCGGGTCAGAACAGGCGAGCGGCCGGAGCCTAAGGGAAACAGCCCGCGCTCACGCTCTCTTCGTTTACTCTCATCCCCTGGCCCAGTTCCGGGCCTCCAGGACCCAAGCCAACACTCACCTCCCTCCCGGGCCGCTGTCTCTCGGGAGAAGGCCTTTCGCGGTAATTGCTTAGTAGACAGTCGCTGCCCCGCCCCCCTTTCCTAGTTGGCGCCAAACGGAACGCGCCAATCAGTAAGCAACTCTTCCCCCTTGCTCCCGAAAGGCAGCTAGGCAGGACCAATAAGAGGGGGAAAAGGGGGCAAGGCGCGGGACTCTGCGATGTCAGCGGCTCTCCGAAAGGGGCGGGGTTGGGGGGGGAAACCGGGGCTGATCCCAAAGAGCGCGGGCTCAGAGGTCAATGAAAACTCCCAGCAGCACCTGCGAGGCGCTGGTCGAGATCGACTGGCTGCTCTTGACCCGTTGCATGCTGGGGAGCGTAGTTCTTACCCCGCGAGGCCTCCCAGTCGCTTGCTGCCCCCGTGGGGCTACTGCTTCATCGCCCCTGCCTAGTTCTCTACACACTGAGGGAATGTGGCGGCTGGAGAAGGCCTCTGGAGGCCAGGCTGAGCCCAGCCTTGCGGTATTGTGGGCCCCTCTCTTCCGCCTGGAAGAATGACCCACTGACTGGGCGCTGCCCTCGGAACACTAAAGCCCAATTCCGGAGCGGTTACGCTCATCTCAATCAGGCGGTTCAAGACCCTGCGGGCCGAGCTGACCACGAGCTACTGACCACACAAGACTTGAACCCTACAATACAACGTGGGCTGTGGGGCTCAGCATTCTTTGCTCACCTCCATTTTAGCTCTCGGTATATCTTCTAAAAATCACTTCCTTCTCCTCCACCCTTCCTTATCCTATTGGAAGCTCCTAGATAGCAATTCCATAAATTTAATAAAACCTAACACATAGCACTTATGTTCCAGACACTCTTCCAAGTGCTTTTGTCTATATTCTTTTTTCTTTCCTTTTAAGTTATTTCATGCTTTTCTTTAAGGAAAAAAGATGTGAGATGTTCTATCTCACAGAACATCCCTTTACTTTTTAGAGAGAGGGGAAGGGAGGGAGAGAGGGAGAGAAACATCGATGTGTGGTTGCCTCTGGCGCGCCCCCTACCGGGGACCTGGCCTGCAACCCAGGCATGTGCCTTGACTGGGAACCAAACTGGTGACCCTTCTGATCGCAGGCCAGCACTCAATCCACTGAGCCACACCGGTCAGGGCTTTTTTTTTTTAAAGGTTGACTGAAGTGTTGAGGGTGACTTTTATTATGTTTGGGTCATCTTCAGTTGTGAATTGGAGCAAAGGGAAAGCATAATTTAACCATGTCCTTTCCCCATTCACTTAGGTATGCCCTTCAAAGCCCCAGAGCAGCAGGAGGGGAAGGGAAGGGCCTTGCTTTGTGAACTGGGAGGTTTCAGTTTCTGATTCTGCTTTGGGGCAGGTCAGTTTTTGCTCATCCATTCAGGCTCTACTGAGCAAGCCTACCAGCTTGCTGCATCCAGACAGACAGCATCAACACTTCCTTGGAAAATGCCGGCATGCCCTCCTCACGCCCATACCCGCTTCACTCAGCTAACACCCACCCTGCCCAGGAAAGTTCTACGCTCAGACACCCTGACTGATACAGTCTCCTGATACTATCCACCTTCGGGGCACCACACGGTTACTTTTGTTTCTGTGATTATTCAATCAGGGTGAGTCCACCCAAATGACTACAAACTGAAAAATGTAAGGAACTTGCCTTCCCCTTTCTCTCCTACAGTACACCTCAGGGCCTGCCTGGTTCAGGGGACCCCTCAGTACATGTAGATTGAATACATTCTGCAAAAAGAAAGTGTGAATACTTAAAAAGGGAATCCCATCTGGCCTGGTATGTCAGGAATTCAGGAAACAGCGCTCTGGGCATCGGGACGTCCCTAAGCAAAGGCTCTGAGGCTAGGAGTCCCCTGCGTGTGGTGGAGGGCAAGTGGGAGAAGAGGGGTTTGGGGAAGGACCCGACTCTGCAGGGCCTTGTAGACCACATTCTGGAAGTTGAACTTGATCTCTCAAGGGCAAAGAGAAAACGTCAAAAGGCTTATATGTACGTTTTAAAGACATAACCTTGACTCCAGAGTGGAGTTGAGCGGAGAACAGCAATGGTAGAGCTGGGGAGACGGTTTGGAGGACCTCGCAGGTCCTGTTATGAGACGGTGTGCACTTGACCTAGGGAGGGGTGATGCAGAGGAGGAGAGCAGGCCTCCCTTCCCAGCCGTGCTTCTCAGGAAGGCACCCCAGCGGGGCTCCTGGCTCTTCCCTGCCACCCCCTGACGACCAGAAAAACTCGGTTTCTAAGTCTGCGTTACCTATTGCAGTGCCCTGTGTATTTGGTCCAGAGAAGGGATTCCCTTTGTTAAAAACAGAAGAAAAAAACTCCCACACAAAAAAAAATTAAAAAAATAAAGAAAATTCTCCCATTATTATGTTAGATTTATTTTCTGTAGAAAAAGAAACACTCCTTTTCTCGATTTAATGTTTTGCACGTGCCCGTTCTTTCAAAGCAATGGCTGACAGGCTGAAGACTAAAGGCTTCGGCCCACGACACCAAGATCCTTACACCCAGTCTATAGCTCCGGCCACCCCACCCGCCCACCCACAAGCCTCAGGCTATTCCCCCCTCCCTGCTGCCACGGGTTCCCCGGGGCCTGTGGTCCCCACCCCTCCCTGTCCACTATTTCAAATACTTTTCCCCATTAAACTTCTAAAAATGTGTTTCCTCTCCTTTTGGGGCTAGTTTCACACTGGACTCAACATCCCTGTTCTTGCGTGCATCGTTCCACAAACGCTGACTCACGGCTCACTGGGACAAACCCGGTGCCTGAAGTAAAATCCCACGATTTCTCCCCTCAGGGGGCTCACCTCTGCCAAATTTTATCTCACAGAACATTCCTTACAATAATACTAATAATTGCTGTCATTTCTGAAGGATCCGTGGGACCCGGAGGAGGAGCCGGAGGGCTGGTGGAGGGGCACTTTCCCAAGGAGGTGAAAGCTGCTGAAGTTTGAAGGCTTAGGTTAGGGTGCTGGAAAAGGGGGGCTTGCGGTGGGGTGAGATGGGGCACTTTGTAAGGAGAGGGAGGAGCCCAAGGAGGCCAGGTAGCAGGAACTGCACTTTCCGGGAACTGCTGAGTCCTAGAATGCGCACCCGGAGTGGTTGCAAGGGGACCCGAGTGGGGAGGAGGAGACACCGCTTGGGGGACTTGGACCTCCCAAGGGTTTGGCTTCATTCCGTAGACAGTGGAGGGTGCGGCGGGTGTGGGGGAAGAGCGGGGAAGCCTGAGGAAGGCGCTCTTCCAGCAGTCCGGGGGAATGCAGGTGGGGGCCTCAGCCACCAGAGGCAGGGAGTGACGCTGGGAGTGTGGAGGAGGGAGAGCTTATCCGAGATTCTTTCCGGTAACCGGTAACCGAGAGTTGAGGTGGGAGAGGAGGAGGAAGCCATTGAGAATGAGTCCTAGCCTCAGCCACCACTTAAGCACCCGGGTGGGTGGTACCATTATCTCAGCAATGCCGCACGGTTCTGGAGGGATTTGAAGAGCTCAGTGTTGTGCTTGTATATTGTCTGGGGGTGGCACGCAGGAGAACGATTTGGGGGTTCATTAGCCTGAGGATGGTAATGGCCCCTGAGAATGTGCGAAGAGTGTTTTATTTTTTTCTTTCAAAGAGTGTTTTAGGAGGCTGGACCTGGGGGGCACTAGTATTGAAGCCCAGATGTAGCAAAGAGGCCCACGAAGGTGGTACTGGGGAAGGAACCCGAAGGGAGGGAGTGGCCGGTCGGCTCAGCAACACACTGAAGGAAGTCACTGGAGGTGGCCACGTGGAGGTCCTTTTGCCTGGGCGGGGGAGGTAGGAGGTGAGGAGGGAGGCTCAGGGAGGCTCCGGGAAGGCAAGAGACAGCAAGGCACGGGAGGTAATAGTACTACAGTACGCTTCCTGCTTTAGCCCCAGCAGAGGGCGGTCCAGATGCCTGTCCACAACAGAGTGGGTAAACAGAGGCTCTTTCACGCAGCGATGAAAAGAGAGAATTCTATGGACGACTCACAACCGATGCTGAACATCAGCCAGACACAGAAACGGACATGCTATCTGATTCCATTTCATTACAAAAAATGAAAAGTCCTGGGGACGGGGGGTACTTGTTAAAAAAGGGTGAAGGGATTAGTGAAAGAACATGTGTGCGTGGCCCCTGGACATGGACAACGGTGTGGGGACTGCCTGTGGGAGCGGAGGGGCGCGGGCGTCTGGGTGGAGGGGGACAAAGGGGGGAAATGAGAACCACTGTAATAGCATCAACAGTAAAATATTTGAAAAAAATGAAACGTCCTGCTGTTTCATTGCTGGTGATAGAAGTGAGGGTGCTGGTTATCTTTGGGGGGCGGTAACTGGAAAGGGCCATGAAGAGGACTTTTGGGAATTGGTCACATTGTTTCTTGATCTGGGTGCTGGTTGCAGGAATGTGTTCGCCTTGTGGAAATTCATGTCCACTCATGGTTTATTGGCTCTTCTGCATACTTCACTGAAATCTTCCAAATTGATAATAAAACAGCCCTGGCTGGTGTGGCTCAGTGGACTGAGCACAGATCTGCAGACCGAAAGGTTGCCGGTTCAATTCCCAGTCAGGGCACTTACCTGAGTTGCAGGCCAGGTCCCCAGTTGGGGGCGTGAGAGAGAGGCAACCGATTGCTGTTTCTCTCACACATCATGTTTCTCTCCCTCTCTTTCTCCCTACTTTCCCTTAATAAATACATAAAAATCTTGGGAAAAATATAATAATAAAACAACCTTCCCTGGGCCTCACTTGATGCTGTGTTCCTTCCCTTCACAGTAAAAACTTGTCTCTGATTTCTCTCCTCTCATTTCCTCTTGAACCCAATCAGATCAGACCCCCTGTTCCATAGAAACAGCCTTTGGCAAGCTCTCCGGGGATCTTTATTTTGCTGGATCCAGTGACCAGGCCACATGCCATGTCTTACTCTGGCTGGGATGCAGACGACCATTTCCTTCCAGAAACATTGGCTTTGTTTGACTTCCAGGATAGCATTCCCTGGGTGGTCTTCTCTCTTTAGCGGCTCCCACAGAGAGGTCATGGCAGAGGAAGCCATTGAGCCCCTCAAGGGGTGGGGGGGCGCCAGGCATAGGGAGAGACGAGAGCTTTGGGCCTTCTGGGTAAGCTTGTCTGCGGCCTCACGGTCTCCTGTTCCCAG